TACAACCTCGCCTATATTGCCTCTCCTTAGTCTTCCTCCCAATTGCATCACTTCACATTTCTCCACATTAAACTTCATCTGCCACGTGTCTGCCCATTTTACCAGTCTGTCTATGTCCATTTGCAGTCTGCTGCTATCCTCCTCACTGTTTACTACTTTCCCAGCTTAGTATGATCTGCAAACTTGGAAATTGTACTCCCTGTACCCAAGTCCAGGTCATTTATATAGATCAAAAACAGCAGTGGTCCCAATACTGATCCCTGGGGGACATCACTGTACACTTCCCTCCAGTCAGAAAAACAACCATTCACCACCACTCTACTTCCTGTCTCCCAGCCAGTTCGGTATCCATGCTGCCACTATCCCTTTAATACTGTGGGCAGTATTACGCACTGATGTCCGGTTCAATTGTACCCAAACAGGAGGAGAAACTTGAACATCAAAGCATCTAAAATTGGATCATGGAGTCCTGTAGCTCAGTGGTTAGAGCACTCGCTTTGCAAGCGAGAGACCTGAGTTCAATTCCAGGCAGAGGGCGAAACCTTGGGCAAGTTTCCTTACTCCACACAGAGCCAAATAATAATCCCTACAAAACAAAAAAACAATAATAAATTGGTCATTTTCAATCTACGACTGCTTGTGGGACATTGTTGTGCACAATTGGCTGCAGCGTTCGCCCACAAATATACAGTCAATTCACTTTACAGTGTGTTCTGTGAAGCGCTTTGGGACGTCCTCCCGACGTGAAAAGCGCTATATCAAATGCAAGGATTATTATTATTATTATTATTTTATTTTGCTTACTAGTCTCTCATGTGGCACTTTATCAAACACCTTTTGAAAATCCATGTAAACTACATCAACTGCACTGCCTTCATCCAGGTATCTGTTACTTCATCACAAAATACTATCAGGTTTGTTAGACATTGATTTGCCTTTAACAAATCCATGTTGGCTGACCTTTATTAGCCCAATTTTCCTGAGTGAAAATTTATTTTGTCCCGGATTATAGTCTCTAGAAATTTCCCCACTGCTGACGTGCGGCTGAATGGCCTGTAGTTCCTGGGTTTATCCCTTCTGTCCCTTTTTGTACAGGGGAATACATTTGCAATCTTTCAGTCCTCTGGCACCACCCCGGTGTCCAAGGGGATTGAAAGAGCTTCTGGAGATTTACCAGAATCTCCATTATTTCCATCCTTACTTCCCTCAGTAACCTAGGATGCATCCCTTCTGGACTGGGTGACTTATCTACCTCGACCACCGATGACTGTTTTAGTATTTCCTCTTGGTTTATTCCTATCTCATCCAATTTCTCTACCCTCTCCTCTGATACTGTGGCATTGGCTGCATCCTTTTCTTTTCTGAAGACAGGTGCAAAGTACTCATTCAGTACGTCAGCCATGCCCTCCACCTCCACAAGAAGATTTCCTCTTTGGTCCCTAATTGGACCCACCCTACCTTTGACTAACCTTTTATTCTTTGTATGCTTATAAAATACCTTCGGACTCCCTTTTATATTACCTGCTAATCTTTTCTCAAACAATCTCTTTGTCCCTCTTATTTCCTTTTTCAGTTTTCCTCTGCACTTTTTATATTCTATTTGATTATCTTCTGTATTTTGGACCTGACATTTATCATAAGCCTCTTGTTCTGTTTTATTTTAATTCCAATTTCCTTATTAATCAAGTGAGGTTTGGATGCCCTGCCTTTCTACTTTGTGGGAATGTATTGGTTCTGCCCCCAAACTATTTCCTCCTTGAAGGCTTCCCATTGCTTGTTAGCTATTTTACCAACCAATCTTTCTTTCCTCGGTTCCTTTTTAACTCACTGAAATTAGCCTCTTCCAGTTGAGTATGTTCACCTTTGATTCGACCTGCCCCAGAGCTGGTCCAAATGATCCAGAAACCTGAAGCCCTCCTTTCTGCCCCATTTCTCCAGCCTTGCATTCATGTGTTTGATCCTGCTGTTTTGATATTCACTTGCACAAGGCACTGGGAGTAATGGGAGTAATTCAGAGATCACCACCTTTGAGGTCCTACTCTTTAGCTTTTTCCCTAGCTTCTGATACTCTCCCTATAGGATCTCAGTCCTTTTTCTCCCTACATCATGGATCCCAACATGGACCATGACTTCTGGATGGTCCCCTTAATAATAATAATAATAATCCTTGCATTTGATATAGCGCTTTTCATGTCGGGAGGACGTCCCAAAGCGCTTCACAGAACACACTGTAGAGTGAATTGACTGTATATTTGTGGGCGAACGCCGCAGCCAATTGCGCACAGCAATGTCCCACAAACAGTCATGGATTGAAAATGACCAATTTATTATTGTTTTTGGTTTTGGAGGGATTATTATTAGGCTCTGTGTGGAGTAAGGAAACTTGGCCAAGGTTTCGCCCTGCCTGGAATTGAACTCAGGTCTCTAGCTTGCAAAGCGAGTGCTCAACCACTGAGCTACAGGACTCCCTTCCCCGTGTAGAACATTTTGCACCCGTTCCATGATGTCTTCAACCCTGGCACCAGGGAAGCAACATACCATGCACGAGTTATGTCTTTGGTTGCAGAAATGCCTGTCTATTTCTTTCACCATTATGTCCCCAATGACAATCTGTGCATCCATTTGCTTTTGACTCCCCTCCCCAGAGGTGTCTGTATTCAGTATAGAGATCCGATTTGTGAGTGCCACACTTTCAGCGGAATTCTGCACTGCCCATCCACTCTTCCTACCATGCTGGGTGGTCACCCACTCACTCTCCTTCTGACTCCTTTGTGGATGTGGGGTGATTACCTCCTGAAAAATTCAATCCATGAACTCTTCAGCCTCCCGTACACTATGTAATGACAACAGCCTCTCCTCAAGCTCAGAATCTCTGAGTTCAAGCTCGAGCAGCCAGAGGCATTTTCTACACACGTGTTTTTCCAGGGCACACAAAGCATCTTGAAGTTCCCACATGGCATACATTGTGCATGCAACCGGTCTCAGCTGCCCTGTCATATTCCCAGACATGTTTTATATTATTTTACTATAACTATTATATATTTTATAATTATGCACCTCTTTCCCCCTCTGCACTGAATTTCCACTCTCACCAAATTCCTTAACAGAATTCTCACTCTGTTCCATCTCATTCAGTTCCCTCCTCACGCTGCTGGGCTTTCTGCTGAATTGAATTACTTTTTTTTTGATAGAAACTTATATCGAACCTTGGTTAGACCATACTTGGAGTACTGTAAACAGTTCTGGTCCCCACATTATAGAAAAGATATAGAGGCACTGGAGAAGGTGTAAAAGAGATTTACAAGGATGATACTGGAACTGAGAGGTTATACCTATCAGGAAAGGCTGAACAAGCATGGACTCTTTTCTCTTGAAAAGGGAAGGGGTGAGGGGTGACCTAATTGAGGTCTTTAAAACTATGAAAGGTTTGATAGGGTAGACATAGAGAAGATGTTTGCACTTGTGGGGGAGAGCATAAGAGCCGGCATAGACCAGTTGGGCTGAATGGCCTGTTTCTGTGCTGTATATTCTATGTAATTTTATGTAAAACTTGTTCCCATCCCAGGGCAATTCTCAACACCAACAAAAGCAACAGATTACATTTGTTTATCTCAGTAGTGTCCATGCTTGTAGGTTCAAGCTCCACATTGGGACTTTGAGCTCACAGTCTAGGCTGACACACTAGTGCATTTCTGTGCGTTGTCAAAGGTGCTATCCTTCAGTTGAGATGTCAAACCAAGGTCACACCTCCTTATTGAGGTGGATGTTAAAGATCCCACGGCACTAAGTTCAAAGTGAAGAGGTTTTCTGTCTCCCAGTGTCCTGATTATTCCCTTCATGCCTTTTTGTGGGACATTTCTGTGTGCAGATTGGCTGCCACGATCACTCACAAAATACAGTCACTACGCTTGATTTTGTTTCACCCACAAAATATACAGTCAATCCACTTTACAATATATTTGTGAAGCGCTTTGAGACGTCTCAATGATATGATAAGGCGCTATATCAAATGCAACGATTATTATTGTAAGAATAGAAAACTTGAAGAGGTATGGGAATAAGGAGGGGGGTGGTAAGATTATATTGATCTCCTTGCTCTGTGAGCCAGTGCTGACTCAATGGGTCAAATGGCCTCCTTCTGCACAAGATATAGATTCAAGAATGTTATATTTCTATGTTGTCAGGTGTTCGCTGATATTACTTCCTGTGCAATATGTGAAAGAAGGGTTTCCCATTGAAAAGTGACAGCAACACTTCCTGTGTATTTCATGTATACATGGTGACATACACGTTTCCTGTCCATAGCACTTATATGCAGTACGCAGGAAATGACATAAGCTACACTTCATGTGCATAGCGCAGCTCACTCAACATGCAGGACGTGACATTTGCAGTAGGTGCGTCCTGACCAAAGCACCATAGCACCAAACACAGTTTGCTTATGACTCCAGGGGTTCTGAACTCAATCAACAACACCAAACAACAACAAATTACATTTGATTAGCACATTTCAAGTCAAGAGGATGTCCCGAGGCACTGGACAGTCAGGAATTTGGACCTGAGCTGGAGTTGGGATGAGGAGGGGTGGAGGGCAGGGACGGTATGAGGGTGACCAAAAGCGTGGTCGACTAGGAGGGTCTTGAAACGGGCCCTGAAGGAGGCAAGGGAGGTATCAAGATGAAAGGAATGTGGGATGGAGTTCCAAAAAGCAGGGGAGTGGGAGGCAGAGAGACCGAAGGTGGGGCGCGCTGGGTGGGAGACATGGAGGAGGCTGGAGCCTGCTGAGCGGAAAGATCGGACGGGTCGACATGGAGTTAGCAGGTCACAAAAGAGGGAGGAGCAAGGCTGCGGAGAGCTTTGAAGGCGAGTCCTCAATAAGATGCAGTGAGTCTGGGTGTTTTATTTTTAAAGACACTTTAATTATGAAAATTACAGAGGTGTGGGTGGGGATGGAGAGTGGAGGCTGGCATGGAAAATGTGTATTACTTTTTAATTTGAATCATAGTATCTTTTTACAGAGATTCACATAGATGCCTGGTAAGGATAACGCAGCATTTGAATTGGGTGAAAGACAGATGGAAGGTGCTTCAAGCTCTCATGGACCCCCACAACCATACCAGGTACCATATGTCACAACCTCATCTCGGACTTAAAAAGGAAAAGATTGCAGGGCTATGGGGTAAGAGTGGGGGAGTGGGACTAGTTGGTAACTCTTTCAAAGAGCTGTCATAGGTACGATGGGCCGAATGGCCACTCATGTGCTGTAAGATTCTATGATTCTATGAGGAACGCAGACTACACTTAAGAGCAACTAAATCAAGACTGAGAGCTCGACATATGTATCTCACCCACACATGCAAGTTCCCCATGTATCTGGAGTTGAATGTGGACTTTCCCCGTCGGGAAAAACCCTAATTTTACATACAGAAGGTTATTGAAATAAGAATAAAAGTGATAAGTAAAAGGGGAAAAGCAGGGGAATCAGAGAAAAGAGCTCCAGTGGGGGAGTGAGCACCAGCTCAGACGCAATGGGGAGAGAGCAGGAAATGGGGTTGGAGTAGAGAGCTCCAGTAGGGGAGCGAACACCAGCACAGACACGATCGGGAGACAGCAGGGAATCTTTCCAGTGGGGGAGTGAGGACCAGTCTATGCAAGATGAGGGAAAGCAGAAAAATGGGATGAGACTAAAAGCTCTTGGGGGGTGGGGGAGCAGTGAGCACCAGCAATGGACACGATAGGCCAAATGCTGTAAACTCTGGAACACTCGTCCTCTATCCCTCCGGGTTGCCCCCTTCTTCCCCGTCTTCAGATCCCGCCTGAAGAGCTTCTTCTTCGACCGTGCCTACAGTCACCACCACCCCCGGCTCCGCCACTGTCAAGCATTCTGGGATGCTTCTCTGTGTGAGGGGTGCAAGTTGTTGTTGCTGTAAACTTTCTAACATTCTATGAATCCACAGCAACTCTCACTGGTTGCCTTTTCCCTTCCAGGCCATCAAGACAGTTTCCACGCTGAAGATTTTCTTGGTGTGTCTGTTGGCCACTGTGCTAACCACTATAATCACATTGATTGTGGTGGTAACCTACAAACCACCTCAATACTCTACAACCCAAACCAGCAAGGAACTCCAACAGACGGCAATAATAAGCCCAAATTGACGCAGATCGATACAAAATATAGATTCCTGAGCCATCTATACAAGTCCAAGGTACGTCTTTAAGGATGAGTGCAATGTTACGATCACAGAATATTCTTAGCTGTGTTAGCCTACTTCAGTTGGTAGCTCTCTCGCCTCTGAGTCCGTAGTTTGTGGGTTTGCCCCACACATTGGGAGTTGGAAACCATAGAGTCCCGGCTGACACTCCAGTGCTGTGCTGGGGGTGTCAAAGATGCAGTCCTTCGGATGAGATGTTAAATCTTGCTGCCTCTTCAACAACAACAAGAAGATTACATTTGTATTGGGAAGACGTCCCAAGGTGCTGACAGAAGTATAGCATTTCAGACCCGAGCTGGGGTCGGGGTGGAAGGGAGGGGAGGGGAAGGGGGGGTGGTCGATGGCATGATCGAAGAGGAGGGTCTTGAGATGGGACTTGAAAGAGGCTAAGGAGGGGGCAAAGCAGAGTTACTGGGGCATGGAATTCCAGAGGTTGGGAGCAGAGTGCTGAAGGCTCTCCCGCCAATGGTGGGGCTGGTGGGTCGGAGGACATGGAATAGGCCAGAACCGGCTGAGCGGACGGAACAGGCGGGTTGGTTAGGAGGTCACAGAGGTAGGGTGGGGCGAGGCCACGGAGGGCTTTGTATGTGAGGACCAGGATCTTGAACTAGATCCTCTAAGGATAGGGAGCCAGTGGAGTCGGGCGAGAATGGGGGAGATTGGGTCATGGAGTTTGGTGTAGGAGAGGCTATGGGTTGCAGAGTTTTGGATTATCTGCAGCCTGTGGAGTTGGGAAGGCCGACAAGCAGGGCGTTTGCATAGTCGAGCCTGGAGGGATGAAGGCATGAACAAGAGTTTCAGCGGCCTGAGGGTGAGGTAGTGGTGGAGTCGGGCAATGTTACGGAGGTAAAGGAAGGCAGAGCGGGTCATGGCTTGAATGTGGGGGAGAAACCATGGAGGTTGATGCTGCTAGAGCCTGAGGTGCTGAGGCGCTGGCGCGAGCCAATCAGGAGGGCCTCAGTCTTGTTCACATTCAATTGTAGGAAATTTGCCCTCATCCAGGACTTGATGTCCGACAGACAGTCTGTCAGGACAGCAGTGGGTGGAGGCAGAAAAATAGAGTTGGGTGTCATCTGCATATATGTGGAAGTTGACCCCATGTCTGCAGATGATGTCACCAAGGGGGAGCATAATAATAATAATAATAATCCTTGCATTTGTTATAGCGCTTTTCACGTCGGGAGGACGTCCCAAAGCGCTTCACAGAACACACTGTAAAGGGAATTGACTGTACATTTGTGGGCGAACGCGGCAGCCAATTGCGCACAGCAATGTCCGACAAACAGTCGTAGATTGAAAATGACCAATTTATTATTGTTTTTGACATTGGAGGGATTATTATTAGGCTCTGTGTGGAGTAAGGAAACTTGCCCAAGGTTTCGCCCTCTGCTGGAATTGAACTCAGGTCTCTCACTTGCAAAGCGAGTGCTCTAACCACTGAGCTACAGGACTCCAAAACATGTAGATATTAAAGAGGAGAGGGCCAGGGCAGAGCCCTGGGGGATGCCAGACATGACAGTGCGGGGGCTGGAGGAGAAATCGTTAAGGCAACAAAGTGGAGACGGTGAGAGAGATAGAATCAAACCAGGCAAGGGCAGGTCCACGAAGATTGAGAAGTGGAGAGGCGGTGCACGAGGATGGAGTGGTCGACTGTGTCCAAGGTGGCAGAGAGGTCGAAGAGGACAAGGAAGCAGAGGGAGCCTTGTTCACAGATATTCAGAAAGTCATTAGTGACTTTGACCAGGGCTGTTTCCGTGCTATAGGCAGTGGGGAAGCTGGATTGGAGGGGTTCAAAGAGGGAATGGCGAGAAAGGAAAGTACGGAGCTGGATGCGACAACTCGTTCCAGGACCTTGGAGAGGAATAGGAGGTTAGAGAAGGGGCGGTCCCTGGAGAGGAGAGATGGATCCAGAGAAGGTTTTTTCAAGATGGGGGTGATGACGGCTGTTTTTAGGGGGTGGGAACTGAACCGGTGGACAAGGTGAGGTTGATGACATCAGACAGGAGAGGGGCCTGAAGGTGGAGCTGAGAGATGAGGAGAGAGCTGGGGGTGGGATCGAGGGAGCAGATGGTGTGTTTGAGTTTGCGGACAGTCGTGGTGAGGGAGGAGGGAGAGATACGGTCGAAGGAGTATGGGGGGTGGGGAATGGGTGGGGGTTGGGTCATGAGGGAGAGGTGATGTGGAGGTGGCTGTGGATGGGGCTGAAGTGGCTGAATGTATCCCCTCGATTTTGGATTCGAGGAAGTCCAGCATCTCCTCACAGTTGGAGTTTGAGGAGAGAATGGGCGAGGTAATGGAAGTTGGACGGAGGAGATGGTGGTGCCTGTTCAGGTGGACCCACTGCACTACTTGAAAGAAGAAGGGAGTTTCTCTGTCTCCCGGTGTCCTGGACAACAATCCTCCAAATAAAATTGATCACTCAATCCCCAACTGTTTGTTGGACACTGCTGTGCGCAATTGGCTGTCACGTTGCACCCACAGAATACAATCAATCTATTTTACTGTATATTCTGTGAAGCACTTTGAGACGTCTCAACGACATAATGAGGCACTACATCAAATGCAAGGGTTATTATTATTACTACTATTATTAATTACTATTTATTGCTATTATTAGTTAATATTTATTATTACTACTGTTGGTAACTCTTTATTACTCTTATTGAGGTGGAAACCTCACCACTGTGTACTGGGTGTTCAATGAGCTAAGATACAGTCTTCTCATAATCTCTCAGTTATTTAAGTTCCCGGGAGGCACTGTGCAATGGTCCAGATATCGTCAGAACCCAGAAGAATACCCTGACAGAGAGTCGCGTGAATTTGGTACCAATATCAACAAGTTTCAGTCTAAAATGACTGGCAGCATCCTCCGCATCAAGAGGAAAGGCATGCGTGTTCCTCACTGGCACCTGAACTCCAATGAACATGGATACGTCTTGCAGGTAAGCCCATGGCCTATGCAGCCCTGCAATTCCAGCTGCTCTCAGCCTTAAGATCTCAGGCTTTAGCACGTAGTCCTCCACGACCTTGCTCCTCCCTGTCTCTGTGACCCGCTGACTCCCTCCTCTTGGCGAACTCTGGCCTGCTCCACTTGGCCCCGCCCCGCCTGGCCCACCATCGGCTGTCGGGCCTCAAGCCTTTCTGCCCCCACCTTTTGGAACTCCATCCCACTGTCCCTTTGCCTCGCCCCCTTCCTTGCCTCTTTCAAGGCCCGTCCCAAGACCTTCCTCTTCGACCTCATCTTCAGTCACTCTTCTACCCCCTACCCACCTTGCCCTCCACCCCTCCTGATCCCAACTCCCAGCTCGGGTCCAAATCTCTGACTGTCCAGCGCCTTGGGATGTCCTCGAGGGGAAAGGCGTTATAAAAATGTATAATGGCGTTATAAAAATGTAATTAGTAGTTAAAAACGATAAGGGAGTTTCACCCTGGCCAACATTCCCCCTGATAAAAATCAGGTCATTCACTTCTTGGCCGTCGGTTTCACCCAATCCATGGCTGTTTGTGGGACACTACTGTGTGCAATTGTCTGCTGTGTTTCACCCACAGAATATACAGTCGATCCAATTTACAGCATATTCTGTGAAGTGAAGCACTGTGTGCAATTTGGCTGCATTTGCCTACAAATACACAGTCACTACGCTTCACAGTAAATCCCGCAAAGCGCTGCGAGATGTCTTGGCGATGAGATAAAGCGATGTATCAAATGCGAGGATTCACCCACAAATACACAGCCCAATCCCGCTTAATAGTGTATTCTGTGAAGCTTTTCGAGACGTCTCGATGACGTGATGAGGCGCTATATCAAATGCGAGGAATATTATTATTGTTTTTATTATATTATTAGAATGTGAGCATTCTTTTTCCTCCTCTAGGGAACAGCGTGGATTGGGGTGGTGGATGAAAATGCCAAGGTGGTAGGAACGTTTAACATCACGGTGGGACAGGTCTTCTTCTTGCCCAAGAACACGATGCACTGGATGAAGAACGTGGGGCCAGATGAGGTTATCTTCCTCCTTTTCTTCACCATTCACGAGCAGCTCCGCTCCATTGACGTGGACGATGCGTTCTTCGCCACACCACAGGATATCGCTGCCAGGGCACTCAAGGTCAGTGAAGTGCACATTGTGAAGTGGAGTCCTGTAGCATATTGGTTAGAACGCTCGCCTTGCAAACGAGAGGACTTGGGTTCGATTCCCAGGCAGGGTAAAACCTTAGGCAAGTTTCCTTACTCCACACGCCTCCGTTTACCTCGCAGTAAGTAGGAACCTATTTGTTGCTCAATTGGTAGATCGCTTTCCGGGAGTAATAATCCTTCCAAAAAACATAATGGTAATAATTTGGTCACTCAATCCACCACTGTTTGTGGGACACAGCTGTGGGCAATTGGCTGCCACATTTCGCCTACAAAATGCCCGGCCCTACACTTTACAGTATATTCTGTGAAGAGCTTTTGGATGTCTCAATGACATGATAAGGTGCATTATCAAATACAAAGATTATTATTATTATTATTGTCACTCTCGTCTCCAAATCCCTTTATCCCCTGGCACCTCCTTACCTCTCCAACCTGCTTACTCTCCAACCCACTACCCGCTGCCTCCACCCGACTGGCTCTGGGCTCCTGCGTATTTCACACGCCTTTTCCGGGAGTATTAATCCAACCCCAAAATCACTTAATCCACGGCTTTGTGGGCCACTGCTGGGTGCAACTGGCTGTTCCGTTTCTCCCACAAAATATGCAGTCAATCCACTTTGCAGTATATTCTTCGAGACATCTCAATGATGTGATAAGGCGCTATGTCAAATGCAAGGATTAGTGGTGTTATTATTATCAGTTAGCACATCACACCGTCCAATTTTAACCCGCTTTCCCCAAAACCTCTTGTCTCCTGTCTTCCATGTGCAAAGCCCATAGACGGAATCAAGTTCATAAAATCATTCAAGAGAGCGGAAGAAAATCAGGCTGTCAATCTTCCCCCGAACCTGGACCAGCTGATCAGAAGCGCTAGTTACCCAAAGGCTTCGGATGACATTGTCGCAAAGTACTTTTATGATCTGAAAGGTAACCACAAACAGCGATGCAGTGTTAGAGGGGATGATTGTGTTGATTGGTTGGAGCACTCGCCTCACAAACTAGAGGACCCGGGTTCAATTCTCAGGCAGGGTGAAACCTTAGGCAAGTTTCCTTACTCCACACGCCTCTGTTTATCTAGCAGTAAGTAGGAACTCAGTTGTTAGTCAATTGGCGGATCACTTTCACGGGAGTAACAATTCCTTCAAAATAAATAAAAATAATTTGGTCACTGTTTGTGGGACACTGCTATGTGCAATTGGCTGTTGCGTTTTTCCCACAAAGTATACAGTCAATTCACTTTACAGTATATTCGATGAAGTGCTTTGAGACGTCTTGAAACCATGATAAGATGCTACAACGAGGATTATTATTTTATTATTATTAAAACACATTATGGTGTCTTTATTTCTGGTCCTAGGCTCCATAACCTACATCTATCCTGGTGGCACGATTCAATGGGCCCGATACCGTAAAGATACATCATCACTGAATAAAAATGAGAAGATATACAGTGAATTCCTCAATGAGGTACTTGCCATTTACATCTCCAGTGACTGTCCTACAGATGTGACTCTAAAGTGGGACACTAATATGCGCAACTGGCTGTCGTGTTTCGTCCACAAACTATACAGCAAATCCATTTTACAGTATATCCTGTGAAGCGCTTTGAAACATCTCAATGACCTGATAAGGTGTTATATTAAATGCAAGTATTATTGTTATTATTATACCCACCGGAGGCCATTGGGAGACCAATAACCCATTGAGCCTAAATGGCCTCATGTCCTTAGATTTAATACCATTTCATTAAGAATCATGAGATGGTGAAGAATTTTACAAAATGCTTTTCACTCAATTCAGTCTGATTTTGGAGGCTCGTTCCCCCACCCCAGCCTTCCTCGACCACCTCCCAAGATAATCCTATGGGAAACGGCTTCCAAATTAAGATTGAATTCCAGAGCATTTTTCTGGATTCCTCACTCTCTTAACATGTTCTTTAAGGCCCAGGCCAGAGAGGCAGTGCAGAGGAAAGGAAACAATAACAACAACAACAAATTACATTTATCTAGCTCTCTTCACACTGGACGACATCTTGGAGAGCTTATGGTACAAGGAAGTGCGGTTGAGGGCAGGCGTTGGGACATTATCATTTGACAAACAGCTCAATGCTGTGATGGGAGGACAGTAGTGTGGGTAATCTGGAAGGATGAAATCACCAAAGAGTGTTTATCCAAACTTCTTGTGATCTTGGGTTCACAAATGAACAACAACAACTTAAATTTGTACAGCACCCTTTACACGGGCCAAAGTCTCAGAGCGCTTAACAGTGGCGAAGCTTGATGCTGAGCCTGGAAGAGAGGGGAGGTGGCTGTAGGTATGGTCAAAGAGGAAGATGTTCAGGTGTGATCTGAAGACGGGCAAAGAGGCAACGAGGCGGAGGGATTGAGTTCAGGCAGAGAAGACTTGGCTTGAATCCAATGTAAAGGCTGGCTGCATTTTCTCTTTGTTTTATCTTTGGTTCAACGTAATGTTTTGTTCCAGAATGAAGACAGCCTCACTATATCAACAATGGACATCCCGAATAACGGGCTCCGTGTGCCCCATTTCCACACCAACGCCAATGAGATGGTGTACATCGCGAGAGGCTGTGGATCGGTAACCTTGCCTTTCATTGTTAACATTAACAGCTGCTAACTTTGGGGCCGGTAAAAATACGGCATAAGGAGACATGTCAGCTGTGGCTCAGTTGGTAGCAGCTTTGTTTCTAGCTCAGAAGTATTGGGAGCGAAGCTATCGCCAGCAATGGAACTAACTGCTCTGTTGAAGCCTGCGGCAAAAGGTGCCACTTGAAAAGACCATCTTATTCTGTTTAGCCAAAATGGAGTGGAGTCCTGTAATGTCATGCTTACCTAATTCTGGAAAATATTAGACGTAGGTTGGCAAAAGCCAAGGCTTGGAGGAGCCCCGAGTGTGCGTTGGGGTAACTGCTAGATTGTAACCAGCTAAAACTGCATAGCTTGCCATTAAAAGCACTGTCTGGCAAGCTTCCCACTGCTTGACCAGATAAGGTCCTATGTGGATTGTAGGGTTAGTAGGAGCCGAGTGGGAAGAATCCCAGCTCCCAGTGACTGCCCGGCCCATCCAAGTACTGCTGTTGAGCCAGGCTCATCTGACACAGCAACAGTTTGTGGGTCTATGCACTTGCCTGCAACTATTTGTCAGTAAATGTTTGGGAAGCGATTGAGACACTCAGCATCACAGTATTGTATTAACTACAAGGATTATTATTAGTAGTAATATTAATGCTCCATGTTGTTTTATTCTGTGCTCCATTCAGGTTGGGGTCTTTAGTCCCGGAAACTCAGTCTCAAACTTCTACATAAACACAGGAGACTTGGCATTCTTCCCCATTGGGACTCAACATTTCGTCAAAAGTATCTGTGACGAGCCAATGTTGGCAATCAGTGCTTTCAGCACTGGCAACCAGGTAAGACATCCTTCCTTAATCAAGTCCTGTAGTGTAGTGGTTAGAGCACTTGCCTTGCAAACAAAAGGATCCGGGTTCGATTTCTGGGCAGGATGAAAAGTTAGGCAAGTTTCCTTACTCCATATGCATTGGGACGTCCTCCTGATGTGAAAGATACTACACAAGTGTAATTTATTGTTGTTTTTACCTAGCAGTAAGTAGGAACCCGGTTGTTATTCGATTGTCGATCACTTTCCAGAAGTAATAATCCCTCAAAAAAAAATTGACTCAATTCATGATTTTGTGGGACAATAATTATTATTATTATTATGATCCGGTGGGATTGTTGGCCAGGACATTGTGAAAATGGAATTGTTTTCAGACAAAGGGTAAGGGAACTATGGAACTCTCTCCTCCAAAAGGCTGTGAATGCTGGATCCATTCACTTTTTGAAGACTAAGGTGGATAGATTTTTGTGAGGTCAGAATATCAAGGGATATGGGAAAAAGCAGGTATTGGAGTTGAGGTACAGATCAGTCATAATCTGATAGAATAGTGGAACAGGCGCGAGGGCTGAATGGCCTACTCCTGTTCCTAAATTCCTAGAATAGCTGGAGAAACTCTTTCTCATTTTGAATGCTCAATGGGGTATGTTTGTGTGTTTGCTCGGGAGAATGACGTGTGATTCTTTCTCTGTTCCTCAGCTGGAGACTCTGGACATACACAAATATTACAATGCAACGGCTGACCACATCCTGGCTCAACTATTCATGAAACCCCAGGACCAGGTCAAGAGACTGAAGGTTCTAGAGGGGAATCAAGCACTCAATATGCCATAGGTTTAACCTGCCGTTAGCTAAATGCTCACCATGCCTCAATAATAATCATCCTTGCATTTCATACAATGCCTTATCATGTAATTGAGACGTCCCAAAGTACTTCACAGAATATATTATGAAGTAAATTAACCAGTTTTTTTGTGGGCAAAATGTGGCAGCCAATTGCTCACAAATATGGATTGAGTGACCAAATTATTCTTATTATTTTTGAAGGGATTATTACTATTACGCTTGCTCTGGGTGTTAATGGGGGAATGAATGGCATTCGGTGTTAAGGTGGTGACGCCGCTCGATGCACTTCAACGCCAGACGGAATTTTCGCCTGGGAGTTGGGATGAAAAGGGACCCAGCTCCGGTTGTCACTGGGTTCTGTGACCTGGTCTAGCTAATGTTTGTGGTGTTTCGGAACAGGAATATTATTCCTTAATAAAGGAATCCCGTCACAATCTCCTGTCGACCCGCCAGAACTCCGATCTGGATGTAATAGTGGGTTTCCTCCAGCGAGATGTAATACTGGTTACTGCAAGAAGCCCCCCACCCACACACACTCACTTCCTTATCATTAGATACAGCACCTATAAAGTAGGGTCTCATTGGAGCAATTGAATATCGCAATCGAGCGAACCCTCTGTGACGTTCTCTAGTCTGGTTCCTGAGGCTGGTGGGTCTGCAGTATTCCAGGCCATTGCTGAGGACAGCACAGCCCAGCCTGGCTAATCAACAGGACTTAAAAGGACAGACCAGTCACTGGGGGTAGGGAATCATCCCACTCAGCTCCTGTTAACCCTGCAAACCAAAGTAGGGTGGTCCTATCTGGACATCAAAATACATCACAACACTGCATGGAGTTTTCTATGAAGTGTCGTGACTATATTTTGTGGAGGAACACAGCAGCTAATTTTCGCACAGCAATGTCCCACAAACAGCCATGAGATAAACAACCAGTTTTATGTTCAGCTGGGGATATCTTTAGCCAGCCAGGACTTGGGGAGAAACTCCCTTCTCTTTTCCAATAATGCCGCGGGATCTTTAAGATCCATCTAAACAGGGCACAGACGGGACTTTGGACTCATTCAAAGTCATGCTGGGGGTAGTGTCATATTGTCTACGCCTCTGACAATGTGGCACTACCCCCAGCACTACACTGGAGCATCAGCCTAGACTGTGAGATCAAAGTCTCTCATGTGAGGCTTGAACTTCCAATCCTGAGTTTATCAAGGAATGCTGTTACGAAATACCGCAAGAATAGACCTCCTTGTATTCACTGAACCCAAGCCAACTGATTGGATCTCCCTACACCCTTCACTGGCCAGGGTACATTCTCACACAAATGAAATGAACCAACACTCTGCTTCTCTCTGTCGCTATAGTTACCAATAATACTACCATTAAAATACTAGATGTGTTGCTCTTTGTTTTTATTTGACAAATTTACCAGCAAATGCGCAGATTAAACGCCAGATGTGAATTACCCTCAGGGATGAATAAATTAATCCTCGACGTTGACACAGTACCAATGACGTCAAACATCTCAATGTAATACCGTGGACCATGCCATCCTCCTCCACCGCCTCTCCTTTCAATTCAACGTTCAAGGTTCTGCCTTGAATGCTTCAGGCCTTATCTCTCACACCGTCTCCAATTTGTCTCCACCAACGGTTTCTCTTCCAGCCCCCGCAGTCTCAGGTGGTGTTCCTCAGGGCTCTATCCTCAGTCCCCTCCTCTACATGTGCCTCCTTGGAGACATCATCCACAGACATGGGGTTTAATTTCCACATGTACGCGGATGACACCCAACTCTATCTCTGCCTCCACCATCGATTCTAGAACAACTGATGTCTGACATCAAGTCCTGGATAAGAGCCAACTTTCTACAGCTGAATGTCAGCAAGACTGAGGCCCACCAGATTGGCTTGCGTCGGCGCCTCAGCACCTCAGGCACTGGCAGCATCAGCGTCCAAGGTTGCACACTCCACCTTACCAAGCCAGTTTGGAATCTGGGTGGCTTATTTGACCCTCGACTGTCCTTTCTCCCCCATAGCGTGCTATGACCCCTCTGCCTTCCCCAACTCCGCAACATTGCCCGACTCCACCACTGCCTCACTCCTCAGGTCTCCGAAACCCTCATACACGCATTTGTTACCTCAAATCTCGACTACGGAAACTCCCTCCTTGTCAGTCTCCCCAACTCTTCCTTCCACAAGCTGCAGATCATCCAGAACTCTGCAGCTCGTGTCCTCTCCTGCACCAGCTCTGTGACCCCATCACCCCCACCCTCGCCCGGCTCCACTGCCTCCGTATCCCTCAGAGGATAGAATTCAAAATCCTCGTCCCACTTTCAAAGCCCTCCAAGGTCTTGCCCCCTCCTACATCTCTGGCCTGCTAACCTCCTAACAACCTGTCTGCTCCGTCTATTCAGCAGGCTCCGGCCTGCTCCATTTCTCCCACCCAATCCACCCTAGCATCGACGGCCGTGCTTTCAGCCGCTCTGTCCCCACCCTTTGGTACGCCATCCCCCAATCCCTTCGCATGATTCAAGACCCTCTTTTTTGATGGTGCCTTCAGCCACCTTCCTATCCCCTCTGTCCTCCCTCATCTCAACCCTGCGCCACCCCCCCCACCCAACCCCATGCTTGAGTCCTGATCCCTGACTGTTCAGCACCTTGGGACATCCTCCTGATGTGGAAGGTCCTTTGCAAAAATAGATGGGACCTAGGATTAAGAACTCACCCAAAAGAGAGTACATCTGACAATGCAGTGCTCATTCCAAAACAATAGAGATTTCCATCTGTTTGGTTGGGATACTCTTAAGCAGGGTGATGGGTTTCCGCATGTGTCAGATGCCTGGCTGACCCCAAAAAACTATTTATGAAGAGCTCAGTGATTGCTCTGATTGGAAGATGTGGCTGCAAATGTAATATCTGACATCACACTGAAGATCTCCTCATTATTTTTGGTTTTCATTTAGTTTTATCCAGCTCACGTTTTGTTTTTGCATGTCTCAAACTTCAAGCTGTTGGTGCCACCTAGTGTCCATGGGAATGACACCTACAGCTGGTAAAGGCAATAAAACACAAAGTTCACACGATAGAATAAATCCTATTCGTTGCATTTGATATAGTGCCATTTCACATCATTGAGACACTTCAAGCTGTTTCACTGTAAAGTGACTGTGTTTAGTAGACGAACACAACAGCCAATTTGCATACAGCAATGCCCCACTAACAGCCATGAAATGAGCGACCAATTTTATCTGGGGGATTGTTGGCCAGGATACCAGGAGAATCTCTCTTTTCTTTTCAAATCGTGCCATAGGATCTTTAACATCTATTTGATTAGGCACAATTGGGATAGCACCTCCAACAGTAGTAATGATCCTTGCATTTGAAAACGATCCACCAACTAACAAGTGAGTTCCTACTTAATGGTAGGTAAACAGAGGCGTGTGGAGTAAGGAAGCTTGCCTAAGGTTTCACTCCACTTGGGAATCGAACCCAGGTCCTCTGGCTTGCGAGAACGAGTGCGCTAACCACTAGGCTGCAGGATTCCATCAGCAACACTGGAGTTCAGTCCCTCCAGCACTACAGTGTCAGCCTAGCCTTTCCTGATGTGGGGCTTGAACTCACCAGCTTCTGATTCAGAAGTGAGAGTGCTACTAGCTGAGCCAGGCTGATATTGACAGGCCAAGAGCATAAGATCGGTTTGGATGAAGAAAGCCCTTCAGCTCGCCTGATCTCATCGTTTCAGGGCACCCACAATACCGTCCTCCCATCACAGCATCCAGCTGCTTTTTGTCCAGTGTCTAGGTCTTACACACCCTTCCTGACAAACCCGCTTTCCAGTCACCGTCAACGAAAGTCACCAGGAATAATATAAACACCGTGAAGCACTTTGAGAATTGGATCTCTGAATTGTGTTTTGGTCAGCCGGGTGTCTGACACACGCGGAAACCCACCACCGGTGCTTAAGAGTATCCAAACCAAGCTGAGAATTCCATGCATCCCACCTACACGTGGAAATTCGAGATATTTGTTGGAATGCTTGTATTTGAGCCCTCAATAGTAGATAGTGAGGAACATCAGAACTCCCCACGAGCTTCCCGGTGAGCAACACTCCTAAATATGAAATGCGTGACAGCATTGCCACCATCTTACTGTCTGTAGCTCGGGCACATGTCCCTTCCCTTCTGGCGATGGTTCTGCCAGTTGGATGTGCGGAGTTTACGAAGCAACCGCTGGACCATCTGCAGGACACTTGAAGTTGATTCTAGTTGGACATATGAAAACTTTCACGAACTCGGACTCCAGGTAATGTTTTCCAGCAGCTGTCGCCTCAAGCCTCAGAGTTTCCTCATCAGCTCTCTGGAGGGCATCTGCCTTCAGTGTGGTGGGAGGAGGACATTTACACGGCACTTGTGGCATGCCAGCCATCTTGATGTTGACGAGGTCCGAGTCCAAAGTTTACTGCCAGTCTTACTCAGCACTAACTGCTTAACCATTACTCGGTCATCGATGAACTTCATCTCAAAATAAAAATATAAATTTTACTGCGGTAAAAATGGCTCTTTCCTCTTATCTTTATTGATCGTGTGTGAGAGTGCCACCTGGTGGTGGTCGACCAGTCGATGACCACTGCTCGACAGTAAAATCCTTAAGAAGTGCTTGGGTCTGCAGGACTCTGGAAAGATTGCCAGACGATGATATCAATGGCAAGCTTTGCGGTTTTAGCTGATTTAGATTCCAGCGGGCGCCCCAACACACACTCTGGGATCCCCCCAAGCCTTGACTCTTGCCAACCTATGCCTAATACTTTCTGGAAGTAAACAGGATGCGTCTCTCCAGGGAGAGAGTGCGCATTTCCATTCCATGACAACAATCTATCTCTGGAATTTCCATGTGTAGGTGGGATACGTGTAATTCTCAGTTTGGCCGAAGGTACGGTGGAAGAGGAAGGTCCTTAGACGGGACTTGAAGGAGGCAAGAGAAGGGGTGAGGAGGAAGGATTGCTGGCTAGAGTTCCAGAGTGCATGCTATGATACTGTATCATATATCACTGGACAGATTATTATTGATTAAATTAAAG